CGCTTTAGATGACCAAATAAGYTAGTTGATGATTTTTTTATAGCTTTCAATCGGTTGATAAACATCAAAACAATTGAGAAAGATTTAGCTTTAGTTTCTTATTTAGTTTACTGCTTCAGTCGGCGCCATGCATCTAGAATTTCCTAACTAGAATATATAAATTAATTATAATACATTATGTAATCATAAGATTCCAGTGCATTGCCAGTTAGTCGTCCCTTTTTCAGAAAGAATTCAAATAAATGACTATTGCGAGTTTTACTGATACGGCGGCCATCTTGGTTTATAGGATGCCGTGCGGGCAAACATGTTGAGAAAATTTACAAAACATGAGTGGCGGGTTATGTTTTCAAATTATTTGAAGTCTTGGTTTTCGCATATTGTTCCAACTACCACTGAAAAAATTCAATTGGTTTTTTAATGTGCTTCTCATAGAAAAGCGTAAAACTATATATGAAGATACCCTGACAGCCGTGCAGTCTACATATGTTCCAATACTGTTGCCCTCTCGGCATCCCATAATGTCTTAATCATAAATATAGAATTCAAGATGGCCGCCGTATTGGTAAAGAAGGTCTATTCGTTGATGATTAAAACCATTCATGAATTAACCTTTTGGGCACTAGCTTCACATGGTATTGATAAATTGTATTGTATTGTATTACGGTCATCAAATGGTTCGGACATGGTTCTCGGATTCGGTAAGAATGTACCGACTTTAAAAATTTTTTTGCTGTTTTAAATTAACCACAGCGCTGTAGTACCTAATATTMTGTTGATTATCTTGTTATTTAGTCAATTTTCATGTTCAATACTGCGCTTTCATTTTAGTCTTTCAATCTAGCTGTCTTTACCTAGATTCTCTGGCTTTCATTTAGACACAAATCCTTTTTTTTTAATATTTGAATTTMGTGTCAACGTGTTATTTTCTTATTGTTGTGATGTGACGTTTCCGATTTTACGCATGCTATATTAAAGATATCTCTCAAAATGCAGTGATYTCTCGAAGATTTGTAGTGAATTTCTTAGCGAACTCTTCGATGCTCGACCCGATAGTCTCGTTTTGATGCTACGCTCATCGAAATGTCGCTGGTTTGTCGGAGTGACGTGCTCAATTGCAATAAGAGCTATTGGACTCCGCGGTCGTGTTTTGTCTCGTCCACGTTTGTTGATAGGTATTCTTAATATACTTTATATCATAACCAGAATGTTTCCTGATAAAATGTTACTTAAAAGTTTGCTGCTTTTCTAAGTTGTTTACGTCAGTGTTATATAAGCATTTGTCAAAATACTTTAAATAAAAGCATTAGCCCCTTTAGACCGATTTTTTCGTTGACTCGGTTTACATGCCCAACAGGCATTAACAGCTATTTATAAAAAGTCGTTGGAGGTCTCGTTGCAGAACTGAATCATTCATCAATCGCCCCTTTCTTCAGTTTCCAGCTGATTTGCTGCATAAAATGACGATGCATATTTTCAAGTTTGCTAAATTATTTTTATGCTAAATAAACATTAGTCGATGATACCACGAAGAAATTAAAAATGCGGTAGCCCATGGAACATGTATTTATTGGCACTTCATATAATATTTTGTTCGACCCAGACCAGACGCCCATCATATAAAAGCTTCCAAGTGTTGGAACGTGTTCTGAAACCATAGCCTAAGGGACGTACTATGAAGCCGTGCAAAAAAGGTTCACTTTGCAGGTGACTGTTATTCGMTATCAAAGAAAATCAGTGTTAGTCGTAAAGATAGTAGAACATATTCGATATCGTGCTGTTGTATCCGGTATACACCAAGATAAAGGTAAACATTTCCCACTCAAACACTACTTGAGATTTGTCTCTGTCAAAAGTTTCAGCTAGGGCTGCTCCTACTCAAACYCCGTGTCCAAGTTCTGACTTGGCGAATTATTCAGAACTACTTTCGGCCAGAAAGAAGAGAGCTAGGAAATCGAACATGACGGGTAGGTGGCAGGATTATCAAGAAATATCAAAAGTTGCGCCTTACTTAATTGAAAGTTGCGCCTTATTTTATTGATGGGGCCGGGAATCAAAGGTGAGGTAGCAATGCTTATCGCCAGTGCACTCTCCACTCAACTCTGGGCTAACGGGTTCGATTCTTGGACCTGGGCGCATCACATATGAATAGATTTWGTAAGCTCATTCTAAACTCCAGTATAGTCTACGAGCTAGCAGCCCTACCCGACTTTGATCAGCCCAGAGGTTCTTTCAGGGTATCGATAACATTTGAAGTTCAAAGTTTTATTTTTATATGGCGGGCACATTGATTCACTACGCGGATTTCCTTGGTTTTACATCGTGTCAGTACACAGAACACTGTCCCATTAAAACAACAGAAGCCGTGGCATCTYTTAGACCTTCACTCTCCGCGTCACTAGCGAACAAAATTAGGGTGTTATTGTAGAGTTCCATTACGGTGACACGCTACGGTACCAGCTATAGCCGCCTACAGCAAACGCGCGGGCTGAAAGGTTTATCTTTTTGTCACTCTTCATGAATCAACTTATTGAGGTCTTGATCAATGAAACTAAAAGCAACTAAATGTAACGTCTATTTTCCTTACTATTTCAGAGTTTAAAAAAATGGATTCATGATTGTTAAAACGAATAAGACTCCGACCAATTGTAATGAAGAATAACTGCATGTCTGAATATTGATCATTTGAAAAAATACGTTAAAAAAGGAGAAACTCAATACAAAATTCAACTAGGGACCTTAATAGAACAATCGTTAACAACTAGCTGGCCTATCTAGAATTTGGTTCGTTCGCCTATGGCTAATCAGAAACTGCAATGATTATCGAGCCTTTTAGCAAGGTGAAATGTTAAAAGCCGGATATGCTGTTTTTCCCCCTCGAAATATGAAAAGAAAAAGGAAAAACTAAAAGGAAAAAACATTCTATTGATTTTTAACCATCAGTCTGCAAGTTATTGATATCGTTTTCTTTATCAACTAAAGAATATTTGTCAATGGAAATTTCCTCGGAAGGTGTAATGCATCTTTTATTAGACTGGGATATATTGCTCTTTGAAATACAATGGATTGTTTTTAAGCGCGCAGAGTAATTCCGTTCTCAAGATGAGCTTTTAACCTCACAGAACGTAAATTGTAAAGATATTCCCCAAAATTGTTTGAGGGCAGTTATAGGGATTTCATTGTGTTTTCCATTGCCATTCTCATGATTGCGATGGAATATATTCGTTGATCTTTTTATCGATTCTTACATGAACGCGACGGTAAGTGCTGGACATATTTTACGTTCACTGATTGCAATTTCATTGTTCAAAGGACAACGCTGATATTTGGATTTATCGATCTAACTCGTCACCTCATCCCGTAAAAGCTTTCTCCATCGCGAACCTGACCGGAATCAACACAATTTAGAGTTTGGGCTAAACAGGACAATAGCCAATGACATTGTCTAAATAGAAATWTGCACCTTGAACGAGTTTGTCAGACATCTTTCTGAAACTGAGCAATTGAAAAAACCATCTTCAAAGATAAAAAGTGTCAAGATTCAGTATAAGCGCCAGTTAGCRAGACGTTTCAAATCTTTTATCAATGAGCTTTCAGTAACTATGTACATGTATCTGGACAGTTCTCAGGGGATTTACTATCGAGCAAAATGAAATGTCCCATCTGCACTTATCAAAGTGGATTAAGAATCTCTTATGCGTGGTTGTTTCAACAATGATATGAGCCAATGATATCAGTGCCAAAAGTAGTCAAATCCTTTCCAATATTTCCACAAGTGTTGGTGAAAATTACTAAAATAGATATTAAAAAAACTCTTCTCATTTGAATATATGTTGACAGAGTGTAGCCTCAGACCTCCACTAACGACTGTTCTACAAATATAGACGCCAGTTATTTAACAATCATTATTGAATCTAGATTTCTTGTCTCCTTTGTGTGTTCAGATGTTTTGATCCACTTATTTCCTTGCCCCATTATTCAGCTTTWAAAAAAGTTTCATTTTCTGTGTTATCTGACAAAATATCTGAAAGATTATGAAGTTCTGRCATTTCAAAATAGACAAAAGGATCGTTTTTCCCCTTGAATCCTGTCGGTATTTGAGGCCATTTTTAACGCAAGGGGCAGTTTCAAGAAAATAGTTCTTTGTTTAGCATTCACTTCTATTTCCACAGTCCTTTGTAAACAAAAGCTAAGAAATGACAAAGTTTATTTGAAGACTGTCGAGGTTTCATAAGTTATTCGAGAAGGATTCTTATGATTTTGACAGTGGGCTTTCAGCTTACCATGTTTTTGAGTTGGAACAGGATCGGATCAAACATTCTCATAAAAGACGAAAGTGAGACTCACGACTGATTTGATCATACAAAAACAGACCTCCAAGAACTATGAATTTGAGACTGAAACTCCCGTTTAAAGCTTGGCAATTACCTACCAAGGTAGCTAGTTAATTAATTGGCACGAAAATTCYTTATTAATTAAGCGAAATTTCAAAAGCATAATCTCCAAATCGGGTGAGTGAGTGACTACTTTTGTGTTCGACAACAGCAAGAGGATTAGTGATGATTACTGGACCTCTACATTATTCCAGTTCATGATTCGCATTTTTAWTTCAAGTTTTTTTATTATTAGAATGTACAAATCGATATTTCTTCTGCTGCGTATTACTTCATGCTGTTTTCTCATATGATTTTGTTAGTAAGGAACCTTTAGAGTGAGGATCGTGTAGACAGGTGTTGCGTAGGGCTAGTTAATAAARGAATGGAAAGCTCCCACGATCGTAATTACTGTCACAGGAACAAATCTACTGAATTATAATGCATATTTTTTTTCATCGTCCATTTGAATGTTCCTTTTTGTGCCATACAATGTGCAGTCTCTTATTATATCATACGAACAATTTCAAATTTCTTTCCATTAGCACTTATATGTGAATTGATTTCCCAACCCAATATCTGTAAAACTGTTTCAAATATCACCAATTTTTTATTCTTTTTTTCCAGGACAATATTGTAATCATCTTGAGAAGATCCTACCATTTCAAGTCTTGATTCTCGCTGGTGGCATTTGCAAACATATCAAAGTTTACAACTTAATATAACTGATCTCCCAGCCCCCAAAATAAATAAGGTACATACAGTGTGGTATCAATAGGAAAAATACGGTTTCCCATTGACTGACCACTAACAAAAGTTTATAGGAAGACAAAAGCGTAGAACCCATAAAAACACTACCGTCACCTAGAGACCTTAACAAGCGGGTGAAACAAAGGGCAAAGCTCGTKTTCTATTGGAGAATATTATTATTAATAAGGCACAAATACAATTCTAAATTGCCTACACTGCTGGGCTATTGACAAATTGAAGAATTGAAAGCGCCGACTATACATTACAAAATTCGACGAGCGTCAAACCTCTGCCTCAGTTCTTTATCTTGACACTGGAGGGAGCTTCCGCACAAGAAGAATTAAAAACTTGGTTCAAAATTTGGAAACTGCCTCTGGCGAGCTAAAATATGGTTAACKGTTCAAAGAATAATGGACCCATGAATGTTACTGGTTCAGGGCAAGTGCCGGGACAKGGTTATAATGAAGAAAGGCTGGACCTGCTGTATGATTGCTGCCTTGGTCTTCTAAGTATTTCGATCATGGTAATTAACATCATGGTCCTAATTGTGTTCATCCATAAACCACATCTACGTACCAAGACTAACTGCCTTCTTGCTAGTTTGGCAGTGAGTGACTTGGCAATGGGACTAATTGGGATTCCTTCGTATATCTCTTGCACCGTCACTGGTCTCTCGTCATTATGCATAACCTCTGCTCTAATGTACAGATTTGTAGCAGTATCCACTATGTTCCATATTCTGTTCGTCACTATCGAGCGCTACATCTCTATCATACACCCTATGAGGTACTTGAACATCATCAAAAGGCAGCGTCTCTATGCAGTCATTGCCTTTATCTGGCTATTCTCACTGTTCATCGCTTTCATCCAGCTTTCATGGAACGACGTCAACAACTATTGGCTAATTACCGATAAGAAAATCAAGGGAGGAATCATCTACCACACTTTTGGAGTCATCGTTTGTTTTGTGGTCCCATTTCTTGTGATGGCCTTTATCTATGGACAAATGTTTGCAGCCATCCATCGGCAAGTCCTCGATATTCGTAAACAGCACATTGCAGCAGACTCCAAAAACTTCCGTCCCATCTATACAGAACTTCGGGCCATCTCCGTCTTCGCCACCATGCTAGGAGTCTTTGCTTTTTGCTGGATTACCTGGTACATCTCAATATTCCAAAGCTACATTCAGTTCCATCTGGACATTTCTGAAGTCGGCCACATGATCTTTGACTTTCTGCGATTTTTCACGTCGTTCGTCAACCCTGTATTGTACACATACCTCAAGTACGACTTCAAAAATGCTTTTAAGTCAATGTTCAAGTGCAAGACAAGACTTTATCGAGGAAGCAGCAGCTCTAAAAGTCAAGCTACACAGTTATTCGATACTCAATACTCTATGTACGAGGACACAAAATTTTAGCAAGATATACCACCATTTTTAGGAATTGAAACACAMAAAACATTTCTGCGTTTAAAACATAAATATATGTATGTCGATTGTTTTTGCCATCAGATTTATGCATTCACTGAATTATTTATAGACATTTTAATTTTGTGCGCATTTTTTTTCTGTTCTAGTCAGTGTGCGAGTATACATTTACACAAGAAAGCTGTAAACAAAAAAAAAAAA